TGCTTGCTGGCAGATATAGTCCCCGTAAAGCTCAAGTTCCAGATGATCAAGGAACTATCCGAGATTCGCAGGATAGGCTCCGCTGTTAGATACCTAGAGTGTGGAGAAATGGACAAACCCAGGCCTTACTGTGAGTGGACTCATCCTGGACGACAGGTGACAATAGATAAATGCACTTACATTCCGAAATGACACTTACAAAATCTACACAGACGGAAGTAAAAGTGAGGATAATGTCGGATGCGCCTTCGTGGTCTACGAGAACGAAGGTAAAGTAGGCTGTGGAACATATAAATTGAGCAATAAGTGCTCAAATAATCAGGCCGAACAACTGGCAATTTACAAAAGCCTTGAATGGATAGAGAAAACCTTACTGCTTCATTCCACCCCCAGAAAGACACTGTTCTACATCCTTACAGATAGTCAAATATCCCTGGATGCCCTTCACTAATTTCGTAGTCCGCTTGACCAATTAACCATGGAGCTTTCTTAGATAATATTCGGGACAAGTTGATGCAAATCGAAGATTTGGGAGGAACAGTAATTTTTGATTGGGATTTTCGGCAATGAAGAAGCTGACCAATTGGCAAAATCGGCGTCAAGGGATGAAAGTCTAGAAATCTCCTACTACAAACACCCTAAAAGCCTTTTTCAGAAGAGACTGGAGCAGGAAGCTTTTTCAAGATGGGAAGAAACATGGCGGGAAACGACTAAGGCGGCCCATACAAAGATGTTTGTCCCCTCCCTGGCCTTCAGNCGCTGCTCTACCACTTGAGCTATCGTGACCTCGATCCACTCGGACACCAACTTCCCATCTCAACCCCACCTTTTGAATTTTCCCTCCTTTTTGCCATTTTTTTCAAATGTCCATGTAATCGGATTGGATTCTCGGCGACAAATGAAATGGCCACGGAGAACATTAGTGAAGTATACTTCATTTTAATTCTTTAAATTCGCTAATTTCGTGGTCCGCTTGACCAATTAATATATTACAATTAATTAAGGTTTTTAGTTGAGATAAAAAAAGTCAATCACACGAGCGGGATTCGAACCCACGATCTTCAGCCAGATACGCCACTGCTCTACCACTTGAGCTATCGTGACTTCGATCCCCTCGGACACCAACTTCCCATCTCAACCGCATCTTTTGAATTTTCCCTCCTTTTTGCCATTGTTTGTATATAGTTTTTCTTTGTCCACTTTAGGAAAGAGAAAGGAGTCAGCTAATACAGCACTTCGTTTGTGTAGGGAGAGGCTGGCCGGTTCCTCCATATGAATTGCTTCTGAGCGAGAATATGAACGTATTTGTTGGTTTTGTGGACAAATTGGACTTGGACTTGAATTAATAAACAGAGGTTTCAATGAAAAAAAATGAAATGCTATCATTTCAAATTTCACGTTTAAACTTTTATTTAATGCATAATTAATATACTCTACTCTGCAGTAAACACATGTAATATTTATATGGAACATTTATATTTGATAAAATAAAATCCCTTCCTGCAGGGCTACTGTAGGGAGGAAAAACACACACACTTTTGTTGTGATTAATTAGTTCAATCACAACGAGAAGAGTAGCAGAGCCCAACGCCGTACGAATATAGTCTATCACAGCAGCTAGAGAAAAAAGCATTTGAGCTTTCTTTACTTTTACTAAGTTGAAGGACTTCGATAATAGATTAAGCAAACAATACTATCGAAAGAAAAACATTATTTTTTCCTAACTGAGTAATTCTTTTCATTTTCATTCGATAGGCCCGAGTTAATCACAGATTCTTATCTAAGAAAAAGAATCTGGTTGAAGGTTGATAAATCAAAGGAGCGATTCGTTTCAAACCAATAACGTAGGAAAATTCACAGTGACAAACGAAATTTTGGGTAAAACATATTATTCATAAATGTACATTTAAAAATGTTCCCTATGGATGCGAATAACGGGGAGGAGCGGGACGCGGGCTGCGATGGTTGATGATGTTGATGATGACTGTTGCGGAAATTTCCACCCTCCTTCGGTTTGTGGGTGCAGGATTCCAATTCCAAGCCCGAACGGGGGGGGGTTTGCCGAAGAAACGATCCCACACGGTTGTCTCGTTTATTCAATTTTAGTGGCGAATTTGTAAAATCCTGGTATTTTCTTAAATTTTGTATAAATGAAGAATTTTGATTAATTTTATTTGTTAAAACTGTTAAAGTACCTGTGGCTTATTAGTAAACCGCACGAAAAATAATATATTCAATTACATTTGTTTTTATAACATGCCTATTTTTAAAATATATTTTACAAAGGCGATTATTTTAGCAAAGAAATTTCACCTGTTTCAGTTAACACTTTCGGCTTATCGTAGCGATTGAGAAGTTCCAAACCACGATAAACATTTCCGTTATCAAAGAATAATATCAACCATTGGAAAGATAAGGGAAACAAGTTGTTTCTATGAAAAAATAATAACAAAACCAAATCGACGGATTACGTTAGTTTGCTATTGATGACGAGTTTTTAAAACGTTAAAACTAAATTTAAAGAATTTTGTCTAAAAGGAATTTATAAAGTAAAAGCACAAGGAAATGTGAAAAAGATTGTTAAGTCATTTGCATATCTTTGTTTTTAACTATCATTTTCTGCCTTTGTTGTGCATACATTTCAAGGATATTACTTATCAGTCGACTTTCTTTTATATTAAACCTAGGATAAGAAAATAACATGCAGGATCGTATTAAATGAGATTTAATCTTCCAGTAAAGTAGACAAAAAAATTAATTTTGAAAAAACTATTTCGGATACGTATTAAGCACCATTTAAAGCTCGAAATTTTCATAGCAATACAATAATAGAAAATATTTGAGCTGAAATCGCCAAGGGATTTTTTTTCGAAGATGATCGGAGTTCCACATAAAAATTCATAATTCCTCTGCATTTTATCCAAATTCAACGTAATTACAATCTCAATAATTATAGTTATTATTTAAAATCAAAGTCGGCGTTACAAGCGGGATTTGAACTAAAGACCTTCGGCTCAATACGTCGCTGCTCTAACCAGTAACCACTCTCTCCACTCGGACATCAACCACTCATCTCAGCCTATAACCTTTCGAATTTTCCCTCTTTCTGCCAATTTTGGTTCAAGAGTGGAAGGTGTCCGAGTGGTTGATAGCTTAAGTGGTTAGAGCAGCGGCGTATTGAGCCAAAGGTCGTGGGTTCAAATCCCGCTCATGACGCTAACTTTTTCATCTCAACCAAGACTTTTAGATGAAAAGTATAATTAATTGAAATAATTAAATAGTCAATTATGACCGCTGCACATATATGGGTTATTTCAATCGTTGGAAAGCAGAGTTCTTCTGTATCCAGCCTATTTCAACAAGGTTTGAGTGTGTCATTATAAGTGAGAAATATGGCTTGAAATGAAAAAAAAAAAACTCAAATTTTTATTTTGTCTCCGATTCTAGTCTGTTCACGGCGGACAAGCTTGTTCCATTACGTGTATTTTAGAAGGCTCTAAACCCCTGATAAGTATTCGGTAGATCGGTGGAGTCGTTTCGAAATTATGACTATTTTTGTTTTTTCGAAAAAAAACCGAAAGCGTTTGGAAAAAACAAATTTCGATTTTACCAAAAATTCGTTTCAAAGTTATGACCATTTCTGTGCTCTATCGCTCCCTCCCTCTCAATCTCTCTCTCTTTTTTCCTCTCTCTCACTCTCTTTGCTCTCGCGTTTCTCTCTCTCTCTCTAACTATCTCTCTCTCTTTTTTCCTCTCTCTCTCACTCTCTTTGCTCTCGCGTTTCTCTCTCTCTCTCTCTCCTCTCTCTCTCTCTCTCTCTCTCTCTCTCTTTCACTTACTCACGGTCTGTCCTCTCTCTCTCACTCTCTCGCTGTTCTCTCTCTCTTTTTCCCTCTTACTCTCTCTCTCTCACTTTCACTTACTCACGGTCTGTCCTCTCTCTCTCACTCTCTCGCTGTTCTCTCTCTCTTTTTCCCTCTTACTCTCTCTCTCTCACTTTCACTTACTCACGGTCTGTCCTCTCTCTCTCACTCTCTCTCTCTCTCGCTCTCTCTCTCTCTCTCACTCTCTCTCTCACACTCTCTCTCTCTGTCCTCTCTCTCTCACTCTCTCTCTCTCTCGCTCTCTCTCTCTCTCACACTCTCTCTCCCTCCCTCTCTCTCTCTCGCTCTCTCAACTCTCGTTTTTTCTTTCTCTTCAACGACTATCTATTTTTTTGTCTATCAAACACTTCTTTTTCTCTAGCTCTTTATTCTACTTTTCCCCTCTCACTCTCTCTTAAGTCTCTCTCGTTTTTTAATTCTCTTCAATGACTACCTATCTGTTTATCCATCTATCACTCTCTAGCAGTCTTTTTTCTCTCGCTCTTTATTCTTATCTCTCCCTCTCCCTCTTTCTCTTTCTCTCCATCTATCCATATTTATCCATATACCTATCTATTATTTATCTATCTAACTCGTTCTCTTTTTTTCTTCTTTTTTTAAGCGAATTCAGCGTTATTATAGCCGTTCAAAAGCGGAATCCTACATTCAGCCTATGCCAACAGGCTTTAGATTTTATGTTTTCTGAATGAGACAAATGAGGATGAAATGAACAAAAACTTCTCAAACATTTTATGTTATATCCATTTATTTGTGAGCTCCTGCAAAATGTCCTTTGGTCGGTGCAGTCGTTCAAAAGTTATAACCATTTTTGTAATTTTCTCAACAAAAAAAATCGTCTCGTCGGAGAAACTGTTGGAAGTAGGTTAAACTATTTTTTTAGCACGAAACAAAGTCGTTGTTTGTGCTCTGCAGCCCAAATAACCCCTGAATTTGTGGAAATTTTTTGCCATTTCGAAAGCTTCCGATTTTTTTATAATACATCTTTCAGATATTTTTCAGTGAATGGTTTTCTTACTATTCTATCAAATTTGGGGAGAGAGTGAAATTCAGTTAAATTAAGAGAGCAAACTTGAAATGAAAACAAACAAAAAAAAGCCACTCATATCTCCGACCTTGTTTGTTGTGGTAAAACGAATGAGACAAGATCCTTTATCATTCCACTCGAATAAACAGCTAGCACGACGAGTCTCTTATCGCCGACGGACCGATGTCCCCACGCAAGATGGCCAACGACTGGGATCTCGATGCCCTCTTGGTATGTACATTTGTCTATACATGCCGTCCAATTCCGTGCTGTAACTGACACACATCTACATAAAATACAGTCTGAAATCAACACTGAAACATTAAGTCGATTTTCGTCCGATTTCACAGGCGATACAATTTATTATTCACCCGGCAACGGTAGCTACGCGACGGAGGATAAGAAGATGGCCTAAAAAAAGGGCATTTATTATACGAAGTCGAAACGTAAACCCTAAAACATTTAGAACAATGCTACAACAATCTAATAAAATATTACCTAACTTTTTTAACAATGTCATCTTAATTACTGGTCATCAATAAATAAACTTAAACCTGTTTTAACATGCAAAATTATTTTTATTAATTATTACTTAAAAACGTGGTTTTTTAAACGATGATCTCGACGTAAAGCTAAGGATTATCGAAATGCGCAGTGTACGATTGCAATTCTTAAATTTCCGACACGTTCCTGATGTTACTTGAATTTCTTAAAATAATTCGCCTATTTATAACGTATTGATGAAGAACAATCATGATTCTTAACCTACTCCAAAATAACAAAATTGTGTAATAAACCATTAATTAAAATTATTTTATTGTGTAACGACTATCAATAATACACTGACAGGCAAAAACTTCCGCCCACTTGTAATATAAATTGATTTGTATATATTTTTAAATATTAATCGAAGTTTCACGTTTTTTAACGTTTGATAATTGAGTCTTTGTCTAAAAAAGAAAAAAAATTATAAATTGCTAAGGAAAATGAAAAATAAAAAAACTTTTAAAAAAGACGGCCAAATAAAATTTGTTTTAATTTTGTTTTAGATTTTTAATTGACGTTTCAATATCGCGTATTTCCTCCCCTTACCTTGATTACATCTTGATGACGCCTCGGTATACTTTCTACCAGTCTGGAAATGTCTCTCGCTGGAGGTTAACCCATTCTTCACGAAGAGTCTTTTCAAGATGTGGAGTCTATCAGGAAGTGATGGACGTGCTCTTGTTCGTCTTTTGAGGTTATCCCATAAATGTTCGATCGGGTTCAAGTCTGGAGAACGGGCTGGCCAGGCTAAGACCCTGATGTTATGCTGTTGAAGGTACGTGTGTACTATGCGACTACGCGAGCGACATGTGGACGAGGATTATCGTGCGTTAGAATAGGATTTTTGCTGATTTCATCGAGGATAGGCAACGCACGATGTTCCAAAATTTCATCCACACGGCGAGTGGCCGTCAAAGACCTTCCACGAACAACGACCAACTCCGTGCGACTCTCCATTGAAATTCCCGCCCACACCATCACTGAGCTACGTTGAAAAGGTCCGCTCTGGGAAAAATTACAGACTTGGTACCTTTCATTTCGCCTTTTTCACACTCTTTCACGCCTATCTAGAAATCGTAGAGCAAATCTACACTCATCTGTAAAAAGTACAGCAGACCAATCGTCCAAACACCAATGGCTGTATACTCGAGCAAATGGGAACCGTGCGACTCTGTGTTCTGGTCAATTCTGGTCCTCTTACGGGGCGAAAAGCCATCAGTCCGTATGATTTCATCTTCTTCGAGTAGTGCATCAGAAATTTGGACCCTCGTACTTCCTGGAGCTGATGAATGGCTTGAATAACAGCAAGGTGCCGGTTTCGCAAAATTCTCAAAGTCAAAAAACGGTCATCCTCTGGTTCTGTTACTCTAGGGCGTCCAGAACCGGTCCTTCTGGACCCAGTTCGTCGAAAACGTCAAATGACGTCTTGCAGAGTTTCATAGGGAACTACAATGGCAATAGCCGCATACCTGATGGAACGTCCATCATCAATAAGTGCCACACCACGCGCAACAGCCTCAGCAATAAGTGGCATTTTTAATCTTATGATTTTTCCTTCTTGAAGGTGGGATAATAGGTCATCTCAAAAAAACCACCACCAGTTTTTATCCACAACGTTTCGGATTTATTTTAATCCTTCCTCAGGTGAGTTAACCAATGGTTAAAAAATATTCAGGTTCAAAATATTAAAACGTTTTTTCGTAGTCTGAATAAGTACCACACTGGCTCTTTTTTAAAATAAACTGTTATAAAATATTAATGACTGACGACCACTTTTTTAACCATTGCGTTAACTCACCTGAGGAAGGATTAAAATAAATCCGAAACGTTGTGGATAAAAAGTGGTTGTGGTTTTTTTGAGATGGCATTTTTAAGTTTAAATATTGAAATTAAGAAAACAAAGATGAAAACTAAACAGTTTATTGCTTCAGAATTCAAATGAGACTTAATAAACATTTTAAATTCCGTAAAAATTAAACATTGAAAAATCCTTTATCCTTGTTTTGAATTAATTATTAAATGTGTTTACGTCTAATTGATATTCCCAGTTTAAAACATAGCATAAACAAATATTTATTGACAAAAACAATGAGACAAATTAAGGGCAGAATTTACTTTTATCGAGAAAATGAAAAAAAAATCGGGTGGAATTTTTTGTCTATCTTTGTAATATCAGCTGAACTTGACGAACTTTATGATCAACAATCAACATACAAAATTTTTATAAAAACGGCCATAATTAAGTTACAATAAACTTTATTATCAACGTCCTGTTTTATTCTTCAAAATTCGAAAAATCTTGAGGTCTGACGGCCCAAAACAGGGAGGATAAATTTTTTTGTGTAGTTCAGACGTTTAGTCTATCGTTGTTTTGGCTTTTCGCCATCCTAAGGGGTTGGTCTGTGTGCTACTTTATCAGTGTGTCCTTTTTCTACAAGTTTATCATAGTGAAAATCAACTTATTGGTACCTAAAAATAGAGTGACTCCAAGAAATATATATATTGAACATAAGCCAACGAAATTGTGTTGAAATATCAAAACAGCGAGGATAAGAGGACCAAACTACACGTTCGTCACCCCGGAGACTTCGAGAAAAAATCTCACTTATCTTCCTGTATTACTGTGTACCAGATATAATTTATGTCTACCTACATCTTTCTTTGAAAAATTTAATTTTCATTACAAGCCCGATGCAATCTTACAATATATATTTTTTTAAATTAGCTGTATATAAAGCTAGAAATAACTATTTAACCATTATATACTAAAACTAATTTATATTTCATATAAATATAACATATACTTGTATTTATTGATGGTAAATAACCATCAAGTTACCTGTGTTAATTTAGTCACCAGTGATTTCTTCATCAGTGTATGCGTTAGAAGGTTACGGATCTCTTGATTTGATTTATGAATCCGACGATTGTGTAATCTCATGTATTTACAATTCTTTTTAGAGTAATACATTCAGTTAAAAAATTATCCACAAATTAAATTACACGTTCTTACGATTTAATGTCAAGAGTTCTCAATTTCATAACCTTCTTCCTCATATACAGCTGAGAGAATTGATCACTAGTAACTAAATCAATACAGCTTATGAGATTATTATGTATGTACATAACAATCCAGTTACTAATTTTTAGTCACCAGTGATCTATTCCGTTATTTGTGTATGAGTTAAAAGGTAATGGAATTGAGATCTCTTCATGTTATTTATATAGCCAGTTATTATATAATATCATGTATTTGAGATTCTTTTTAATATCAGTTTATAAAAACAGCTGACAAATTAAATTAATGCTGTTACAAGTTAATGTGGTGCCTTCGAATTTCACGAATTTCATCCTCAAGTTAATGTCAAGAGTTTTCAATTTCATGACCTTCTCAACCAAACATGGCTGACGGAATGGATCACTGGTGACTAACTGGATTGTTATGTATGAACATAACAGTTCAGTTATGATCAGTTATCACAGTGATTCAGACAGCTAGTATATAATTTCATGTATTTGCGATTCTTTTTAGAGTAATAAACCATTACTACTTTATGGAACATAGTCAAATTACATGCATTTAAAACTATGAAGGGGTTTAGGTGTGCTCTTAAAATTCGCCTTTATGGGTCTTTCGTTTGAGAAGAATTCATAAAAGAGGGAATATATCTTGTTTCTTCCTTGTATTTTTTATAGTAAGCTGACTGAAAAGAGGTCTCCCTTGGCTGGTTTCCTATTTCATGCGAAATAGGGAGGCAGCTCGCTTACACCTATTTGATTTTTCCTGGTCAAACGAGAGATTGATTTTATAAATAAATATATTACTATTGTAGAAATGTGTGGTGATTAGTGACCGTTAATCGATATTTATTTAGAAATCGTGAGATGCGGGCTGGTGTGATGTAGGTTTCAGAAAAACATTTTCTTTATCGTGCCAACGTTTCGATCTTTATTGAGATCATACTCTCGACACGACACGCAAGAATGGCACAATTANTCTTTATCGTGCCAACGTTTCGATCTTTATTGAGATCATCTTCAGGGCTCAAAGTGTTTGTCTTCTGTGTAATTGTGCCATTCTTGGGTGTCGTGTTGTTTTTCTGAAACCTACATCACACCAGACCGCATCTCACGATTTCTGAATAATTATCGATTAACGGTCACTAATCACCACACATTCCTATATCTAACTATTTTCTAAATAAACAAATTATTATTTGCATGACTAATTAAACATTTCTACATTGAACAATTATAAGTCAGATTTTTTTTAATATATGACAAGTTGTTCATTAAACATTTTAAAAACCTTGTATAAGAGCGAAACTTTTAAAAAGCAGTTTCGATTTTGGTTGACAATTCTATGAACAAATTAGAATTAATCTTGTTTAAAAAAATGGATGATTCGGAAAAACTAAGAAATACAATGCGGAGAATGGTAGAAATAGAATCTCAGAAAATTTTTGGCAAAATGCTTCTGACAATCGTGATCGAGGAAAACAAAGAAGAAACTTTAAGACAATTGAAAAAATCAAAACAAACTATCTATCAATTCTTTTGCATCTCACATTACAGAGTTTTATCTTGTTCGATTCAAGGTGACGTAAAAACTATCAATTTAAAAAAATCGGTTATTTTAAGCTTCTTAGATTTGCTCAGTAAACAATTCGTTATCAGTAATAATT